ATATATATATATATATATATATAATTAAACAATTGCTATGTTGTTTTAGGAGCTCTAGCATAGCAACTGGAAACCAAGTAATAATAATATATAAAATTAAACAACTGCTATGTTGCCTTAGTAGTTAAACACCTTTGTTCATCTGCAGAGGTTGTTTTAGGAGCAATTGGAAACCACGTGAGTTGCAAGAAGGCTCAATGGAAACTATTCCTAAACAAAGTTTAACTGAATGACTCTCACAGAAACTAAGAATATGTTTGAGAAAGTTATTTTATTGTCCTGTATGAGAAAGTTTGATCCATTTGCTTGATTCACAAAACCTTGAAAATTTCTAAGAATTGATATTGTTCTGGTATTCTAATACCACTTAAGAATGAGAAGCAGATTAATGATAAATGGAGGACTAACATGCCCAAAGAAGTTCGCTATTTACAAATCAAGCATGCCCGTTCTTCTATTTTTCAGAAATTTAAAAATATATAAACTGAAGCTTGACATTTGCATCAGATTTGTGTGGCATGTAAATGCCCCTTTGTATAGATTTTGAAAAGCTTACTTGTTTGTCTTAGCACTTTAGGTTTGACCTGCATTTGGTGTGCTAATACTGGTAACCTCATTGCAAGTTTTGATGTTGTTGGAAGCTGCAGGGTTAATAGAAATATTCATGCATGGTTAAACCAGCTGGAAGCACCATAAGCAAATAGTGTGGACAGTGAAAGCTTGAGAATTTTGAAAAGCTTAAAGGTGGCTCCATATTCTTTTCTATTAGCTGAAGCTGATGAACGCAACATTATATATGTTGTTGATGTAAATGATCATATCTCAAGACATTTGTCAAACAAAATCATTTCCCTATTTCGAGTGCTTTTGTAAAGCTTTCCTGTTCAAACTAGCCATCAAATGCATTTTTTGAAAAGATAATTTCCTTGGAGCTTACTGTATGAGGGCATGTTTGTGGTGAAAATGAAAGTTGAAGTATTTCTTTTTATGGTTGTAATGGATTTGTTGTGAGTTTTTATGCTTAGAGACGTGGTGATTTAGAATGTAAGTTTACTAGTTAATTGTTTCTAAAATGCTAAGGATATGGTAGAATAGACAAACACGCCACAAGCATGGTTGGGTTATCTATTGCTTATTTTTTATTCCATAGAATTAAGTGCTGTAAGAGATAAAACGTGGAAGTCACAACAAATTAGGTGATAATACTTATATTAGATTTTGCTTTCGATAGAAATGTTGTTGATGAACAACCATAAAGCTGACATTTTTTTTTAATTCTAATCTTTCAATTATAATATTTATTACATGTATTGCTGCACCAACACTGCTGAATAAAATAAATGATGGGGTGCTGCAATTACTGCACCAAACTTGCTGAATAGGATAAGCCGTGAAATCGTTAGAGGGGTTGAAGAATAATTTCCTTGGAGTTTTTTTGTATGAGGGCATATATTTGGTGATAGATTTGCAAAGACATTCGATTTAATTTTAGTAGTATAAATATAAAAAAAAGTTTAGGTATTAGATATGCAAACACATTCGATTTAATTTTATTGATTTAATTTATTAATAACTAATGATTAATTCATTTATTTTCAAATCATTATTAGATAAAATTATATACTATTATTTAATGATTAATTAGTTTCTTTATAAACATATTTTTAAATTTTAAATTATATGATAAACATATAAATTTTGTAAATTAATAAAAATAATTAATTTTTAATTAATGTTACTTTATTGCTTCAGACAATAACTTGTTTAATATAAAAAAATATTTTATCTATTGTTATATACATAAATACTATATAAGGACATGATGATCATTTTTCCAGAAACAGCTACCCCACAGTTGCTTTCATACAGCTGCAATAAACAAACAATCAGTTATCTCGCAACAACTTCCCGAGACAGCGTAGCTGCAGCTGCCTCAAATAGAGCCTAAATCTTGCTATAACAAAATATAATCAGCATAGACTACAGACATCATTGCACATGGCATTGTCAACATGAATCATTGTTACTGCCACTCAATGATGCACAAAAGATTACTGCAAAATAAAAATATGACAAAAAATATATGAATGTTTTCATCATATTTATTAAATTATTATTATTATTTGTTTAATGCACAAAAATGTCCGCTACATATCATACCCTTCAGCAAACGAGACGCTTTTGAAGGTTGGATCAGCATATATACAACAATGGGCTTCATCAGAGCCAAAAAAAAAAAAAAAAACCTAATAATTAATCATATATATCATATTAATTACTCATACATCACGCTGGTTAATACAAGAGAAAAAAATCATTGAAAGTGATAAATACCGGTAAATCTCAACTCTTATCAGCGAACACATAAGAACTAGAGACCTTCAAGTATAACACCAAGCACCTATGTTTTCTATTCTGCAAATTTTTAGATTTGAGGATTGCAAATTTCTAAATTTTTTTGTCAATACCTTTCATTCTTTCTCTCTGATTTTATTGCTTCGTAAGACTTGAGGACTTCTTTGAATTTTTCCTCAGCAGCCTCTGCAAAAGAATAGAATTTTCTCATCAATATAAAAATAAAATATACAACTTTGGAAAACCCAGAAAGTCGAAGACAGAACTGGATATAAAAGACTATATGAGTGGCATTTTAGCTTTATTCTCTTGGTTCTGATCTGGATGGTATTCCATTGCTTTTGCTCTAAAAGCAGTCTGTTACAAAAAAAAATGTTAATGATTATTAGTTAAGAACCTGAAAATGATAATTATCAGGCTTAGCAGTTCTCTGTGCTGTCCGGCATGCAAGATGATGAGTTAAACATGTAATAAAGATATTATAATATTGTTTCAGTATGCTAAAAAATGGATGTTGTAGCTATTAGCTTGATTGCATAGTATGCATGAATAATTTTCCTGGATTTCGATAACAGATAGCCCGAATCAAACATTTAAAGTTTTTTTTGCATGATTATTCCAGTAAATGGTCAAGAATTTTAGTATTGAATGAGTTATCTAAACAAAGGAATAGGAACCAAAGCAAAGGAATATATTCATAGCTCTAGTAATCGCAAGTGATGCATTTATGATTTAGTTACTAACTTATAAGGGACCATAACAATTTTCAAACTTCTCTAGTAGAAAATTCTAGAAACTATAGGTGCTCGAGGTTGCAGTTCTAGCGGTTCGTCTGTAGGTGCTTGATTCTTAGGAGATTTTAGTTTATTCTATTTGGTTGTTGAGGTATGTAGAAATAATCAAATATTGAATAAAAGTTTTTCTTGGATGCGAAAATATTTCTCCTTCTGTCGATCAAGAATGAGATTAAGAATATTGGGTGAGGCAATATAATCATACCAAAGTATGGCTCGACTTATATTATTAGTAGAAAGTGTGATTGAATTTTTTATCATATTTAATATGCAAAAAAATTCAATAATGTTGTGGCTTTCATGATCCCAAACCTACTCGTCATTGATTTCTAATGTAAGACAATAAATTTCTTCATCCCTAACTTTCTTGTCATTGATTTCTAATATAAGCCCATAAATCTTGCCAAATTAGGATCTAATCATTTTTTTTTGGTTTTCAACAAGCGTAGTAAATGTTTAATTGCCCTATTGATTGATTGAATCAAAATTCAAAGATAGAAATCGTAGATCCATAAAATTTTAACATCATTTGTCAACTTTTTGGTTGTCGGTGAATTCGGTTCCTGGCAAATTCTCAAATCTTATGAAGGCAACCAATTGAAATCCCTAACAACTTGTATCCCATCATATATGTTTCCTTTAGTATATCCAAGATGTATTTATGTTAGGAGATAAACATAGCAATCATTGAGTGACACTTATTCCAAAGGAGTATTTGAGTCCTCCCAGATCTTTCACTTTAAATATTTTGAAGAGTAGGTCTTTTACTTTCCTCTTTTCTTTGGAATCATCAACTATTATAATCAAGCCATACATACAAACTATTAGAACTGTGATTTTTTCTTACTTAGATCTCTTTATGAAGAATGTTTGATCTCCATGACTTTATTGAAATTCTAACTTTCCATGGCTTGGTGAATCATCAAAACCATGCACTTAGAAATTATTTGAACCCACTTAGAGGCGATTGAAAAGTAGGTTGAGCTACAAGAGATGATACAACCACTAGTCACTTTTTAAAAATAATGGGCCTTGATATCCCATGCACTATCTCCCTGAAATACAAGTCAACTATATGTGATGCATCAGTTTCCTGTAGCAATATACGAGATGTGCCATCTTTGGAAACTTATCAACCACTGCCATCACTTACAGAAATCCTCACCTGACGTAGGAGAGCAAAGCGAAAGAACCATTGATATAACACTCTCAGTATGCTATGATGGAAGCGATGCATCCAAGAAAGAGATACTTTTGACAATTGATGCCATTGTTCAATTTGAAGAACCAACCAGACAAAAAGAATTTTTAAGGCAAGCTTCTCCGAACTTGTAACATCTGCTTATTAACGTTTGAAGCATTTATGAATAATGATGTTTAAAAAGTTTGCAAATACTTTTAAGTATTTATATTAAGTCTTGTCTTGTTTGCTTTAATTACTTTTGTTTTCAAATGCGAGTTAATTTTGTGATTGTAACATTGAAATTTTTAATTAGAATATTTTTTAATGTTTTGGTTTATTTTGTTTATTCACAATATGGTCATCTTATTCAACGATATATTATTATTATAAGATGTATTTTTGGTAAGGCCTTAAGGAATAATACAATAAATTGATATAATAGAGAGAGGAGAGAGAGATGATAATATTTATTGAGGATAAAGTGATGAAAAATTAACTGATGATTCGGGCAAACGTGCCACTAAGGGTGAATATTTTTTATGTCTCGTAAGGTGATACGGTTAAGTGGTCAATTAAAATTGGTAGAATAAGATGGCTAGATGTTGTGTAAGAACACCCAAAATAAATTTAAAACCTTGTGTTTCCATCAACAAGAGTGCACTAGGGTGCTTCATAATGCCATGGGAAATAGTTGGGATATTGCTTATTTTGATGTTTATTAATTTTTTTCGTTTTACCTCCTTTTTTTCTCTTTAACTCTTGTTATCCATCCATATTGTTCATCTAATATTATTTCTATATTTGGTCAGGGTTGAGTTTGAGAATTTAAGTATCAATCCATGCTCATCACATCAAACAGCAAAAAATGAGAAGGAAACGAAAGCAACTGTCAATGTAAGGAAATAAATGCTCTACTTTTCTTCTTATTTCCTTAGCTCTTTTAACATGTTTGTATATTCTTTGTCAAATTTGGGTTAAAGTGCTCAATATAACTGATATTGTTTATGATTTTTTTTAATAACTTTTCAGTCTTAATCACTATAAGTAGATATCGAGGATCATAAAAAGTATTGTCATTTCTTATTTATGTAAGATTTTGTTATATTCACGTTGAACGTAATCCATGATGCTTCACCAAGATTATTAATAACTATTTTTGTCCATATAGCACATCATCATTATTGTGACATGAAGGCTCTATGGCAGTATTTTTGATACATAGCAGAACAAGGTTATCAACTTTTATTGTCATATTATACTATGTCTATTTTATATATCAAGACATATTTGTGGTCACTTTTATTTGTCATGGGTGTGGTTCTTCTTATGTTTTGTATCCTTCATTTGTATAAAGGGCTCTAAGATCTTATATTGAGCATTTTGATCACAGTCACGAGTGTGGTTGTTCTTATGCTTGTTAGCCTTCTCTCTATCACGCTCTTCTTTCTATTTAAGTCTACTATGGTATCTTGGATCAAAGCATTTTTTTTTCTCCCTTTCTTCCCAATTTCCGTTATATTGCTTCTCATCTTTTTTTCATGATACAATCAAATGCTTTTGTATCCACAATAATTTATATTAGAGATAGATGTCTTCATTTTTATCATGCACGTAAGTTTGAAAAGTTTTTCTCTTAGAGTACAAAGAGAGGCGCACAAGCATGCTTTAAAGACTTCTTCACAGACAAAAAATATACAACATTTTAAATAAGAGGTTTTTTGCACCTTCAGAGGTTGATGGTGAGCACAATACAATTGTGTTATTACTTTGTAGCTTATGTAGCAAGTAGTTCTTATGTTATTAACAAGCATGATAGTATTTATGTTATGAGGTTTTGCCCTATTCATGGGTTTCCCATATCCTTCTGTATGACACATCATGAAAATATGAATGATTGTTGAATTAACCTGCTCATCAACATTCTTATCTACTTGTTTGTCCTCGCTGTCTTTCTTCTTTCATATGACTTCTCTATTTTGGTCAAAGTCTTCTTCTCATCTTTTTTCAATTCTGTCTTCTTGATCGATTTCTCTTATTTCTATCCCTAGCACCATAAAGGTCAAATTCTTTCATGGACACGTTAATTTCTTATTCATATATTATGCATTTGCTAATAATTATTCATATATTCTCTGTTGTAGCGCTTCTGTTAAATAACATTGGTCCATCGCCCTATATATTGTGTCACATGCTTCCATTGACACTTTTAGTCGAAATGTAATCCTGGCCAATCATAATCATCTTATAGGGCTTAAATCAATCTAAAAAGATTCAATTTATATTATTCATATAGAATCATATTGGCATGACTTCTAGCATATTGTAGAATATTGCATTGTTTCTTATTTCATTCATCCATTGCATTCCTTAGTAGTATATAAATCCCGGTCCTTATCTTATATTGTTGTACCATGAACGAACCTACTGCAATATGCTGTAATTATCTTTAGATTTTACATCTTAGTAAAGTGTGTCATCAACATTATTGTCACTTAGATTTCTATCATGTTCATCTGTTTTTCATTTATGATAGAGTTCATATAGGTTATTTTTTTCTATCACATATTTCATAATGCAATTATTGTGCCTTAAAGGTCAATGTTCTTTCACCCTTACTATTGATGAAGTGCATTTATGCAATATTGTAATGAACCTAGTGAATCCAATTTGACAAATTAGTGTATAATGCAAAACTTAAGTTCAACTTCTAATAGGATTTTGTATTATTGGTACTTAGTGCGGTATTGATTCTATCATTTCGCTTATTGTTGCCCTTTGTTGTTGATTTGAGGCTCATTAGTCATTGGACATTTTTTTTTATTATGTTTCTTCTGACTCAAGCTATCTAGTTTATTTTTCCATCTGTATGAACTATATTAAGGTTTCTAAACCTTTTTTATAGCCCTTGGTTTCTTTTGAATCTCTTGGGCTGACTAAGCCACAACTATCTTGAGATATCTCTTTTTCCTCAATACATCTTTGTTCAGGTGCTATATTTGCTTATTTCTATTTTTTGTGTTTTAAAAGCATACAACATCATAGTTATTTCAATCCATCATTGCTACTACTTCCACCACTATTTTTCTTGTGCATTTCATATTGGTTGTTATTGTGGCTATAATTATCATCATTGTTACCAATGATATCATGATTGATATTATTCACTGGAGAAAACTACTAATTGTAGTTGTTCATTGTCATGAATTCTAGTTCTTGAGAACTAGGCCATGTTATTGCATGTGTTGCACAATGCACTTTTTTGTTTTTTTAATGTTCATTTGCTATCTAGTCTTGTAATTTTTTGAGCTTATTAGATAATTATAATTATCATAGTTGTTAATCTATTCTATTTTTTCTCAATTAGGCTTTTATCCAGCTTTTATCAAACATTTTAGGCTTGTAAAAATTTGTTTTTGGTGATAAGATTAGTAATATTTAATTGTATTTTAATTTTGTTGATCATGTGCTTGTGCTTGCCAAAATATTTTAAACATGCAAATGAAGTGTGTTCATTAATCACCAGTCTCTTAGGACACTTGTTTGTTAGACTGTTGTATCATCATAATAAAGAAATTTTTTATGATTTCTTCCTTAATTAAATGGCTTGTTTATTTTGATAAAAATATGATTCTTTTTTAGCTATATAATTACTATGTTTGTTTGAGGTTAATAAATTGAGATTTCCTAGTAGGTTAAAATTATAATTTCATCTGTTTTTTGTATAGGTTATATATAGATATGGATCATTAATTTTCTTTTGCAGTTATTAAATCTCTTCAAATTTTGATTGATGCCTTTTGATGTTTGCAGATTTGTGAGGAACGTTTTGGCTCCCCAACCGGAGCATATTTGGATTCTATGAATAAGAAAGCAACTCCTGTTGCTGGGCTACAGGGTAAAATATGTCATAAGCATAGAGCTCCATTTGAAAGTAAATTGGGAAATGATGCAATTGCTTCCAAATCTGCTTTATGCTTTCCTATAATTTCTCAAGATATTTGTAATAACCATATGACTCGAAAGTCACGAGGCAATTCAAGAAGGTGCGAATTGCCTCGCTATCCTTGTCGGCGATCTTCTATACTGGCGAATCCCAAGGTTTGTGCACTTTATATTTCAAGTTGATGTCTTAATTTTAAAGTTTAATAATTCTCTTACAACTATATATCATTAGCTTATTCTACCATCTTATTTCATGAGTTGTTTCTGGTTCAGGATTATACTAATTATAAGGACAACAACGGAAAGCCAGTTGCATCATCAATTGCTAGGCATTTTGGCCTTGGACATGTTAGTAGTTCTTCTTCTTAATGTTTAATCCTATATTTTTTTATTAGTATAATGTTAATGGATTTTTTGTTTCCTTAAATACAACTGAGTTCATTGATCTCATTTAAATAATCTGGTTTGGTTTATCATTTAAAAGACCTTAATTTTTTTGCCCAAATAGTTTTCGATACTTGTATGCTAAATTTACTATTGTTAAAACTACTTTAAAATTTTAAGCATTTAGTAGATATGTACTACCTATCATGTCAAATTTCACTCATACTCTAAAAATAAATAAATATTTTAGTATGCAAGGAATCATATTTTTTTTAAAGATGTTAGTTTAATCAGTTATTTTCTTCACTTATAAGCATAAATGTTTAGGTTTAATTAAATTTATGGGAATACCATAGTTTTTCTAGATGGTCCAATTTTATACACTATTTTTTTTTTCAAATAACACTAGTAAATGGCTTTAGATCTTATTGCCGTAGTCATCGGTCATTGTTTCATAGCTAGGGTCTCTTTCATCTAGATTTTAATCTATAAAATCGCATTGTAATTTTCTCAGCAAACTTTCAAAATTTCTTAAGATTTAAAATAAACATGTAGAGCAATGCTTAATTTGGCAAAACATCACTTATGCTTCGACTTTGTTATTGCTGTTATGTAGTCTAAGAACCCATTTCTTATAACTCAAATATAAATTGATTTCATGGGAACAAAACAGCTATAAATCATACTAAGAAGATTGTCTACCTACAATACATTATATTCCCATTCATTGTAGAAATATTTGGCAATAGAATATTTATATAGAATTATTGGTACGTCTTGTTTTAATCAGATAGAAATAATGGTTTGAGCAACACTATAATTTATTTAATTTTATGTTGGGCTTATTAGATGAACAACTAGGTTACATGTTTTTATTGCTTCAAGTTTTATTTATGTTATTTGCTTCCTCATTTCTCTGCTATATATCACTGACAACTTGTATGGGCAAATAAGTTCACTGTTGGTTGAAACATCACAATGGATAAAAATTATTATTCTTATATATTCATGTTAGAAATTATAACAAACCATATTGCTCATTGTAAGGATGAGAATACTTTACTTACCTACAGTTAGTCATTTATTGCATGCACCTCAATCGTTCCACAAAGACCACAAGATGTACTGTTTAGTTAAGTCCCCTTATAAGGAGTGATAAATATTTAGGAATTTGTATTTTCTAGATCTTTTGTACCTTTTTAAGGAATTCTGGTAGTAGGTGCCCTTTTAGGCCTCCTAATTTGATTAGTGTGTAGAGTTTGTCTTTGGTTGGTTGAGTGCAAAATACAGCAACACTCCATTAATGAAGCATAAATTTCGTTGACTGACATGATTTAAACCGCAACTAAATGACTACAATTCAAATCAAACTCATGAAGTTTCATCAATCATATGATAAAATTGTATTAAATGGTGTGACTAGTATATGCATGCCCACCTGTGTGTACATGTGCCCATTTGTGCTATTGAACATTTTTTTTGGGCAATGTATGCTAGCTTGCATGTGAGACCATTTGTGCGCATATATGTGATCAAGTAGGATAATATATGGTCTAATAAATTAAGCTCTCATTTGTTGTTTTAAAGATTAAGGAACTTCACCCAATTCTTTGTGTTCTTATAAGGGATTTTGAAAGCGCATTGCTCAATATTGACACTTAACCCTTAGTAAGTTCTTGTCTTTTGATGGTAATGAGTACGCTTGAGTCAATTTTTATTTTGTTTGTATTTTTAATACTTTATTTTTTTATTTGTGTTGTTTGATGATTTTTGAGTTTTTCTCTCTCTTTGTTTCGTTGTTATTCATGCCATCTACTAGTCATCTTGATAACAGTTTGCACAGCGTACTCATAGTAAATGGTAATATTTATCAAAGTCTGAGTTTTACAATAATTTTGGCAGATCTTCCTCTTAACCGTTCATATGAGTTTTCTATAAAAGCATCAAACTTTCCCGCAATATTATTAAAAGCAAGATAGGGTGATTCAAAAGACACCATGGCCCAAAATGAGATGACAATATGCTATTAAGAGAATGTATTGGTTGGGCATGAGGCACACATATCAAAGCAAAATTTCCTTTCATGATTTAGAGGTCATCAAGAATCTTCTGTAGTTGTTAGCAAATCAAAACAAAATAAAATAACATAGTATGAGTTTCACCAATGTGCCACTGAAGGCATGCATATGATTTCAGGAGGACACTCACCATGTCCTAAAGGTGTGTATGAGTCTAAGAGACGAATTCCTACAGATTAATATATTAAAATAAAGATGGAGGGCTTATCACGATGCCCTTGAAAGATGCATTGGTGATAATTATTGGCCTTAACCCAATACCAGCCCTAAAGTGCATTATGTGCATAACCTTATGAATTAGTGGTCGAGTGATTTGAAGCAAAGACATAAGAATAAAGCACATACCTCTCTTTTTTAAGTGAAATTCTTAATGACATATGAACTTCAAAATTTTTTTCTCTTCACCTCTTTTTATCATGTATCATTGTGAAAGACAGTCAACTTATTTTCCCTCCATTTCTAGTATGGTGGTACGACATACAATTTTAGTTAGAAATGAGGCATTAGAAATGCATTATTAATTGGGATGAGCAATAATTTTTTAATATTGGCATTACCTTTTTTAAGTTGTGGGTTCATGCTATGCATGAGCATATGTTGTCATATGCATGGTTCCATATATATGTGAAAACAACAAGCTTTGTATAAATTCTTCTTGGGATCCTTTTCAGATTTCCTTGAAGACATGGATAAGACTTTTGTTACATCTAATGGTTTTATCTGGCCATTACAATTTCCTAGGAGCATGACACCCTTTTTTGGAATGACGGACCAGATAAACTTGCATCAACCTAGGCAAAGTTAGAATTGAAGTTGATATCTAACACATGATTGGATTAAAAGACTTGTTGATATTTTGCACATTTACTTAACATCATGCATTGAAAAATTAGTTATGCACTAGATTAATGGAGGCTTGGAAGATATGGTAGAGTGAGTTGTTTTGCTTAAACATTCAACTTCTGTAAACATGGGAACAAAAATGACCAACCAAAATTAATATGAAATTTTATAATCAATCTTATTTATATTCTTTTGAAAAATAGCAAACAACTTGTGATATAACATAACGAGGTAGCTTACTTATATGCAATGGAGCCTTCAAGTTACTTTATATAAAGCAATCTGATAATAAATAAACTTTTTGATTTCAATGCAAGTATTTAATTACTTTTCACTAGAATGGATTTTTTTTTTGTTGCATTTCAAAATTTCAATTGTGATTCCATGCCTACATGAGATTATATGAGCTAACACTAAGGGTTTTATGGAAACTAAAGTTTGTAGAATTTATTGTTAAGTTGTTGTGCAAGAAGCACATGTGGGAAGGTGTTGTGGCTAAAACAATATTTCATGTTTGATAATTTATTTTGCCGTATTATATTGGTTGTGTTGTTCTTTTATATTGTTAAATAACCTAGATGCCCTTCTTATTACACAACTTAAAAACTAATCTTTAATTGTCAAACTATTCATGCACTATCAAACTTATAAGTAGGTGATTAAAGATAGATAGAGTTATAAGATAATCATTGTCATGTAATGTTTTTTCTTACGTAAACATGCAAGAAGCATAGTATAAATAGTTCAACAAAATAATGTATTATAGTTCTGATTTGGGAATCATAATCATTATAGCGATTATGTTGTCGAATCCACTTAGAAATTGATAAATGTATTTCTTTTGATGTGTTCAAAATAATATTTTTACAACAGCTGTTTAGAACCCAAATTAAAACAATAGCAATGTGTTAATCAAAGTAGTCCTAATTATATCCCACAACCTTGCAATCTCTTCAGCACCCTCATCATTCATGATTGTGTTTCTCATTATTTGTTTCCATAATCAGTAGTTGCCCAATTTGTTGTTCATATGCTTCTTGAGGTATGTAGGCTATCAACATCCTATGAATTGATCAACCAAGTATTACTTGATGTATGACTTTGTATGTAATCATTCAATGTCATTATTATTATAATATTATTTATTTATTTTTTGAACGAGTTAATCAACATATACTATTAACTAACTCATTTTTTAGCTCATATCATTCAAAAGGTTACTAATTATTCTATGAAGTGATCATTGAACCTTATTGAAATGACAACCATAGTATTTTGTATCGGGGGACACTTCGAACAATATAAGACACTTGTTAAGCTTTCAATTATCAGCATAAGCCTAAGTTTCATCTATTATTTCATTAGTCTTTTAAGAACAATTAAATATATATTGTAATTAAAAAAATTAAGATAATTAAGGAGTTTATAAATTATTTTATTTCATTACTCTCAATTACTGCATATAATAGTTATTAGTCAATAGTTTTGTCAATATGTATACTATTTTATATTTAAGAGGAAGAAATTAGTCATCCTTACCAATTTTTTCCGTTTTTTGTACTTTTTGATGGACAATAATTAAAGTAATTAGAAGTTAATAGTAATACGAGGAATACCTCGTGGATGTGAATCATGGTAGTTTAAAATATTTGATGAATGGTAAATAATGTGTGAGATTAAGTGGCTATATCCTTATAAATGGGTAAAATTCTATCTTCTTTGTGTATGTAGTGTGGGTACATTCCCGTGTGTGCTTATGTGTATTTGCATGCACATTAATAAACATTTGCAGCTACTTCAAATATAAATCCATACACAATCGGAAGTGTACATGTAATCATATGCTTATATGCATGTGCATTTTTACAAGATTTTAGTTTAATTTGATTTAATTGAAGCTCGACTTAATCAAAGTTTAAATTGATTTGGACTTCGATCCAAGCTAGAAAATTAAGTTGATTTTTAAGGGATCCTCAATCTTTTAGTAAATTCACAATCTCATTCTTACCTTACATGATATATTTTTAATTTTCTTAAAAGCTATACATGCCAAACAATATATGGCTAGGCAAGCTGTGTTATATGATAGCTTTGACAATTGAGATTCGTGGCATTGAACATTTTGTAAGCTGTATATGCTTTTGTATAGTGAGTTGCATATATGTATGTACTGATGTTGGCATAATTTGTTTGTAGTGTTTTAAAATTTTTGAGGCAAGCACATGATCACATAATTAGTACCTATACAGTAATATGTTTGAGGAATTATTATTCTTTACTGTTTGAGATTTTTTAATTGTTTTTTGGTGCAAGAGTGCAGACTTTTAGTTGAGATCAATTGTTTGTAGTTTAACCTGAGTGTGATAGGTTTTTTATGATTAATAAAGTTCCATGCATTAGATATTCTTTTTAATGGTTTTTTGTCCTATTTATCTTTTAATCTTTATCTACAATTGTTTATCAATTAAGACACCATTGCAATTGTTTGGGCTATTTTTTATTTTTTATTTTTCAAACGATTTTATTTCTTGTTCTTCTTAAGATGACTCATTTTATCATGTTTTCAGTGAAGCAATACATGCTTGGTTTCCATTACACGAATTTTAAATTTGTCTTCAAAACCAATGGCCAGGCACTTAAATGTAGTAGCTTAGATAGGGATATCGGATGCTTCGGCAATGCACGAAGAGTTTGCCATAAGCCTCTTTTGTGGGATTTAAATTTGATAACTCATGCTAATATATCATCATCGCACTTTGTTGGGCAAGAACACAGACGAAGCACTGATTTAAAGACTCGAGAAAGTGAATATTTTAAAATACTTTTCGCAACTGGTATCCTTGCTCCTCCTCCCCGCTCAGTGGAGTTGGCTAAAAAAATATTGCGCACGCTTGACGGAACAATAATTCAACCAGGTTAGTAAATAGTTGACACTGCAATTTTTCTTGTTCAAAAACTATTTATCAATTCAAACACTATTCAAAAGTCTCAAAATATAGTACAATTTTATTTGTTTGCTTTAAATATTGTATTACATTTAAGACCTTAGTGGATGTTATTTTCGCGGGTTTATATTGATAATTTTTTATGTCTTATTAGCTTTTTCCATGTTAAAGCATATTTGATCAATTTCAGTTGAGCAAAAGGATGAGGCAATGTTAAAGTTGTTGCCTACTCTCCTCCAGGAAGTCCAACTCAAGCTGGCATGGACCATTACTTGTTAGAATGTCAATTGTGAACTTGGCCTTTCATATCTCGTAGAACAGTGTCCAAGAGTAAGCTTTATTACCTCCACCTGGAATGAGGTGCCAAGGCATGGTAAGAAAATCCAACTTCCTTTGTTTTTTTTATGATCTTATGTATTTACATTTTCACACCTAAACTTTCATATTTACACACATAGCACTCAAATCTTTAATATCACATAAAAAAATAGCGCTTTTATCACTTTTTTAAAGTGAAGTACATTTTTTCTTGCATAGATTTGATGCGCCAAAGTTATATGCATGTAAATATGAAAGTCTAGGGTTAAGATATGTAAATCTTACTTCCTTCAATTTTTTTTTTTAGAGAATAGCAATAAATGGTTCAGATCCTGCCGGCAGATCTTTTGACCAAGTCTCATTCTGCTAATTCTCACTGTAATCTTTTTATACAGGCTTCCAAATTTTCCTGAAGTTGGAGTAAACTTCATAGTAGTGCTTCGTTTGGCAAAGCATTTCTGGTGCTTGGATTGCTGCGTTCTTCTATAGGCTTATTCTATAGGCAAAGAGCCAATTTCCTGCAGCTCGGATATAGCTAATTGTGTGGGTACAAAACAGCCATGAATTGTATGGAGAAGATTATCCACCTCTTGTGAAAATAAAAGATTTTTTTTAGAAATAGTGGTATTTCTTTCTTTAATAATGTAGGATATTTTTCCTGAATGGCACAATGGCTCTTTTCCTGTTTTTGTTTGGTTATCTAAAGTGTTTTTTTTCCCTTTTTGGGTAGATTTTCATATGCACCATTCAATTCCTTTGTGTTTACAAATCTAACACCTAACGTTAAAAATTTACATATATATACTTTTTTCTTATGCATTTTACATTTTAAAAGTTACAAAAGGGATATTTTTAATGTGATATGAGAGATTTAGGTGTTTTAAATGTAAGTTTATGATGTTCTTCAACAAATTCATGCTTCAAGTATAATTATGCTGTTCTTCAAGTATAATTATGTTGTTTCCTCAATTTTTGTATTGTAAAGATTATATATAGATGGATCATTAATTTTCTTTTGCAGTTATTAAATCTCATCAAACTTTTCTTATTGTCTTGTGATGTTTACAGATTCGTGAGGAATGTTTTGGCTCCCCAATTGAAATTGCCAGAGCATATTTGAAGCAACCCCTTATGTTCTTGGGCTACAAAGTAGAATATGCCATAAGCATAAAGCTCAATTTGGAAGTAAACTGGTAAATGATGCCATGCTTCCAAATCTACTTTATGCTTTTCTATATTCTCTAAAGATATTCAAAATAACTATATGACTCGAAGGCCACGATGCAGTTCAAGATGGTGTGAATTACATCACTATCTTTGTCAGCCACTTCTTTACTTGCTAATTCCAAGTTATGTGTACTTTGTATTTTAAGTTGATGCCTTAATTTTAGAGTTTAATAATTCTCTTATAACTATATGTCATTGGCTTATTCTCCCCTCTTATTTTTTGAGTTGTTTCCATTTCAGGAATATACTAATTATAAGAGCAACAACGTAAAGCCAATCGCATCATCAATTGCTAGGCATTTTGGCCTTGGACATGTTAGTAGTTCTTCTTAATGTTTAGTCCTATATATATATATATATATATATATATATTTGCTTAGATGTAACCGTGTTCATTGATCTCTCATTTAAATAATCTAGTTTAGTTTATCATTTAAAAGAGGTTAGTTTTTTTGCCCAATTGTCGTAATTGTTATTTACTTTATCATTTGATAGGGAGCGGCTTGGATTGTTGCGTTCTTCTATAGGCAAAGAGCCAATTTCCTGAAGCTCAGACATAGTTAATTATGTGGGTACAGAACAGGCATAAATCGTATGAAGAAGATTATCCAGCTCCTGCCCATCATTGAAATGTGTGGAAATAGAAGATTTTACTACAACTATTGGTATTTTTTTCTTTTATAATGTAGCATCGTTGTCCTGATAGCACTATGGACCACTCAATTCCTATTTGTTTATATATCTAACACCTAAATTTCAATTTTTACATATGTGCCACCTTTCTTATGTATAAAAAGGTGTACTTACTTTTTAGAAGTCAAGTGATATTTTTGATGAGATAGGAAGGACTTGAGGTGTTATAAATGTAAAAATCAAAATCGATGTGTTAGATATGTAGCTACATAGGCATTGGGTGGCATGTATGTAAAAACCCTTTTTTTGTTTTTTTGGTTTTTTAGGGATTAGATCAAATAATAGTGATTGTTGGTGTGTTTGAGCTAAGCATTGAGAGGTGATGCTCGGGCTGATCACTTGATTGATCTTACTCGATTGTAAATTCATTTTTTTTTTAAACATGAGAACCATCACATATGAAGAGCTAGAATCTATAATAAAAATGATGGATTTAAATGGTTCATTTGGTTGTTCAAACATTAAAAATTATGTTTTATACATGATAAATTTATTACTTATTATAATTTAATTAAGAATCATATTATTTTTAGGCCTTGCTCGTAATTCTAAAATACTTCGAAGTATAGTTATTCTTTAGGAAGATTTATATGGATGTCAATCAATTCCCATATATTTACATACCACCTTACCTATGCAAGAAATGGTGTGTTTCAATTAAAATGCTCATATTTGTGCTGTGATGTGAAAGCTTTGAGTGGTATAAATATAGAAAATAAAGTTTATGTGCTAGATAAATAAATACATATGAATTGGTCGGCATTCATGTAAATGCCCCCACTTTTAACATATCTTGTTGAATCCTGAGTTGTTTTTTTTTTTTTTTTCTTTCTGAATACACGCTTCGAGAGTTAGAGCCGGGAGAAGGAGGAAGAGAGAGAGAGAGTTGAGTGTTCCAGAAATTCCACGTAAGAAGCCTGGAAGATGTTCTTTTATTCATATTTTTGTCTCTTATTTATAGTAGTGTATTTGTACAATTACATAAAGAAATGAATGATTATGGAAATTGTCATTAATGCAATTTAATTATGATGTTTTTTTTTTTTTTGTCAAATTTGTATTACAGTTTGAATTCAAATGTGACAATAAAGCTTGAGTTCGGTCGACCGAGACCGATCGAGTGGCAATTGTGTCTATCAAAGTAAAAAACTAGTTAGTCGATAAGTTGTGGTTGGGCGCATTTGTGAGGAGTTCGGATGATTTGAGATTGCAGGTGTGGTTCGTCGATTGAATAACTCGCCATAGTGCGTCGGTTGGCTCCGACTGAGTTGTCGTCGTCAGATGGTCGGTTTGGATCATGCTTTTGTAGTTGATACTTTGATTGTCTAGGCATTATCCTGAGCTGCTTATTGCTTTGAGATTCATATCGACGATTTTTATGCATACATATTAGTTACCCGAGTTTTTCCGTGCCTTGAAAGTGACAGTTTCGATAAGGACAGGGAAACTGTTAATAATCAGTGACACAAACAAAAAAGAATAATTTGATAATCAACTTTCTTTTGAGTTTTGTGACAAGCGTGCTATATAAATTGAGCTGTTGGTTTGGCATGGCATCCCAACTTCTCCCACATAACTTAGTTGTGTCGTGGCCGATGGCAAGAGTCGGATCATCGTAGACCCCAAGGTTTTAGCCAAAGCGGGCTATAGGTCCCCGGACCCTACAAAGAAAAAAAAGATTATGAGTGAGAAGTGATCGGATCCGAACCGGCGTCGACCGATCAAGTCGACTCATCCAGAGGTCTCGAGGGGAAGTGCCTAAGATCTATTGTCAGGAAACTGTGGTTCATGATTCGGGTGAGCGTACAAGCATTCAGAGTCGACGGGCCCTGCTCAATGAAGGTACTGCAAAAAGTTGAATGGGATCAGTGATCACCGTCTCTCCTTAGCCGCTACAACAGAAAGGCAGAGGTGCCTCGTCAATTGGGAGAAAAAAATTGTTGTCATCTTTCTTTAATAGATAGGTTTATGAGTACGTGAAATTATCGTTGGTCGTTTGTGGCTTTTAACATTTTTGTGACATTATCTCTGATACAGATGAATCAATTGGGTCGGAGGTCCGCAATGATGGTGGGCCTTCGAGGGATGTTGCAGAGTCCCACTTACTGCAGTGGCCCTTTTGCAAGCCGAGTACGCGTGGCTTCTCCCTTCGATTGACTTCGGAGGTGCAGCGATTACTCGACCCTTTGCCCGTTGCTAGGGTGGCAAACATCTTTCTCTAGCACCAAGGAGCGGTATGCATGCAAGGTCGAGCTCTTAGCGATGTTGGTTGGTTCTTCGGAGGGAAGCAGTCAGAGTTTTGGCTATGGATCCTATGCGGGGGTTAGCGGCCCACTTGGTGACCGTGGATTCAGAAGTAGCTATCCTGCGTGCGAAGGTCGCGCATCTTGTGGGATGAATTGAGAGCGTTCTGTGAGTCGATTGATATGGACAAATTCCATCACGAAGCTGATTGGATTGATCAGCTTAAAATAGGCAGAGAAATGGTCCTCTAAAGGCCGAGTTGTACGGGGTATGTCTCGCTTGAGGCCCATTATTTGATTCTTCATTTTACGCAACTGCTCTATAAATAGGGCAAGGGACTGCTTTATTCTGATTTAGGTATTCTGATTTCTTTCCATGCACCTTCAACCTTTTTTCTCCTTTCATTTTTCAGTCTCCTGTTGTGTTCCGCAATGACTCTAAAATATTCTCCCACCCTCTTTGGTTCCATAAATGGAAATGATTCTTTGTTTCTATTGGATAGTGAAGTGAATGATTTGCAGAGGAATTTTGTCCTTCACGACAGTGTCGTTCTTCGGAGAATGTCAAATTCAACACGAGCAATGAATGTCACTGGTAAGGATATGGTCTTTTTCCAGGACCAGTTCAAATACGACCTCTGACTGCCTTTGAGTGTTGAGCTTCTGAGTATCTTCAACGCACATGGGATCATTCAGGCACAAGTGCTGCCGAATTTCATAGCCACTATCATGACTTTCAATTTCTTTAATCGTCGAGAGAATATTTCATGCTTGATCGACATGTTCATGCACTACTACACATTTAAGCCCCATAAGGATGGCTTTCCCATGTTTTTGGTAGGCAAGGAGCTCCACCTGTTGGGGGTGGAGAATAAGATAAGGGCTGGAAGAAGAAGTTTATGACCAATTCTTGTATCGACAATCAGGGGATCCATACCAAGCCCTTGGAGCAAATGGTGGAAAGACTTGATGTTGATCGACTGACACCTCTCAATCCCCTAATATACTGTCGATGCTACAATTATTTGTGTTCTTAGAGGCGAGACAAGCAAGTAACGGCGGCGCCTCTCAGACATTGATGAGGCGATCCAAGTAAAGAGGGTAAAGGAAAAGTTGGACGCCAAACACCAGAAGCAGAAGCGTCCCTTGGGGTCAGGTAATTCCATAGAAGACGATGACTCGCTTCATTTTAGTGTGACATAGAGATACCTTTTTTGTGTGTCTGAAACTTGCATTATTATTCAACATAAGGTGACCGACAAAGTTATTGCCATTTCCCAAAAAATGTGGTGGTCATTTTGTTGATGCAGAGGAAGGTGACCAGAGAACCCCTGTCTCTTAAAGGGATTCAGATGAAATTGTGGCTACAACTCCCTCTTCCTCGAGAGTCGACACGCCATACGACGTGTTATCAATTACTTTTGTGCCTTCTGTTTCTCAGGTCAGGGGTCCTTCCTTTCTCCCCCTAACCGAATAGACCAAAGCAAGCCGGGCCACCCCCATTACCTCGCTCATTCGCTCATCAGGAGAGTAGGATTTGTCTTCCAGCGACGAGGCCTCATCTTCCCCCAGGGAAAGAAGGGTCCGTTGGTGGGAGAATGAGTCGATGGAGAAGATAGACTTCCCTCACCCCCCTCCTCAAAAAAGAATAAGAAGTCTTTTGAGTGGACCATGCGCCTAGGAACACTAGGACGATGTGACTCAGACTCAACAAGCGGCTCGGTCTGTTAGATCAATCCTTAGACTGATACCCATTGATGAATGAGAATAGGAGCGTACCTCGGCCTTCTTGGACCTGTTGTAGTTTGAGGAGTTCGGTTGTACCCTAAGATACTTCCACAGTTTGGAACTTCTCCAGAACGTGGACCTGTGGTAGTTGATGGCGGTGCAAAGTGCTCATTTTCTGGGACTGACTGTAATATAATTAGTTGGAGCATTGGATGGGGCTCGGAAGATGAATTATTTTATCATCTATTTCCTCAAACGATATTATTTCTTGTTCTTTTTAAGATGAATCATTTTATCATGTTTTCAGTGAAGCAATATATTCTTGGTTTCCATTACACGGATTTTAAACCTTAAGGTACGAGACACGAGCAGATAGCTCATGGTCCTCATCATGTGGTTCTGCTCATCTAACATCTCAGAACCTGTGCATGTACCTTATGTCTAATACGAAACTCTCTTAGAACTCTAAAAAGTACATGAGGAAAGTAAGAAAAAGCTTGACCTGGACGAAAACAACATTAGCAGGAAAGCCAACAAACATGAAACACATATGAGACATGATTGACTGGAGGAGCTAAGCAACGCTTGCAAGAATGGGTTAGTATATAAATCATTACATTGATCCCTCCTGTTACACGTGCGGTGTGTATTATAGGCATAACTTCCTGCAAAAAGATGGACTTAATGTATTGTCATGCATATCAAAGCAGTAAGCATAAAAGCACACCAAAATCACAAAAGATGATGCTTTGCTAGAGCAACCAAATCAGTAGAGAACTAGAGCCATGACATTGAAAAAGTATTTCTAGTATCCTAGTCCTTAGCCTAACATGCCATCTAATGTAGTCTCCTACCACATCATCTAAGTGAGTGCAATGTTATGTCAGAAGGCTAGCGCATGTTTTGATGGGGTTTTTGTCATCGACCACATCCTAAGGATCCAACGATTCTAAGAAGTGCCACTATATGTGATTTTGAAAAGCTTTTAAGAAATTGACCTCATGTGCGGTCTAAGCTCAATGCGTAAGTAACTTCAAAATAGATTTTAAAAGTATGATGCATATAAGTAATAAAAATATGGATTTTTATACTTTCAAAATAGTTCCTAAGAAATAGAAGACCTAAGTGGCGCATATTAGACTCCTTAGAATCTTAGCACAATATACGCATGCTAATCACGACATGGTAGATAGCATTGCCCCACTAAGGCATCCCCAAGGGGCAATACTTGCTACCCCATAATGACCAGCAATATGTCACTCAGCTAACAGGCCAGATTCATTATGAAGTCAATCAGAGAAATGCACATACAAATGCACAGTGATTGAAATATGTCCAACATTCACCACCAGCACACAATGCACATACTAGTGAAGAATGCGCCCACAATGTCGAATGATGCATGCAATATGTACAACACAAATGAGTGTGTCGTGGAGGCAGTGACCCAGCAGGTGGGTGCAACATATAGGTAGTGACTCGGAGAGACGCCTATGACAATCTAGACCGATGGCATAGGGAGTGAAAGGATGTAACTTCTGTTGGAGGGAATTACACAACAAATTGGCTCGGTGGCGGCAAATCCATTCGCATGATGTATGAGTGCGAGGAGTAAGTGTATGAGAACACTAATCCAAATGCAAAGACTTCAAGCAAGCAAGCCATGGACATGCAAGGTGTTGTGCAAGCATAGACACAAAATTGGAAAGTGCGAGTGCAAACCACTTATGACGTGGTGTTGATTGACATAAGGATGCCATGAAACATATATAAAGAGGAATGTACTGCTTGAAGGCACAAATACTCATAATGAGAAGATGAGGGGATATGCTCATGAGTGCACGATAGTGTACAAGTGTGGATGTGCTAATGCAAGCAATATGAAGAAGCATGCAATGAATACAACATACCAAATGCAAAAGACAGATTGTTCAATCGAGTTGGTGGCAGCGCCGATCGACCATGTTGACAGACATTGGTTGATAGACTGATCGAGTCGGTTGCACAGATCGATCATGTGGACTAAAGAAGGTCGATCAAACTGATGTACGGTTGATCAACGAAAGGTAGTCAATAGATACGATCAGACTGGTTGGGTCGATCGATCGAGTGGACCAGGGGTAGTCGATTGTGTCGGAGTGTGTGCGCCCGATTAACAAAAAATGGTTGATCAGTACGCTCAGGCCTGTGGCGCTCGATCGATCAAATAGACTTGAAATGATCAATCGGGTCGGGGTGTGTAGCCGATCAAGAACGGATGGTCAATCGATAAGCTCAGACTGGTGGTGGCCGATTGATCAAATGAATTGGAAATGGTCGATTCAGTTGGGGTGTCTGGTGGATAAACAAAGGATGGTCAATTGATGTGATCGGGTCGATGTGCGGTCGATTGACATGGGTGGTCGATCTATGAGATCAGACTGATGGAGGTCAGTCAATCGAGTAGATCGATGAAAATTGAGCAAACCGAAGGGTGTGACAAAATAGAAAGTTTTGATGCAATTTTGAAAAAAGATACATGTGATGCATACAATAAAAAATGTGAAACATATGCACAATAAGATTCGATTAGATTTGATGACGAATCGTGCCCGCCCTAGCAAACTAACGGGGGAACCCTAGTGTAAACAACAAGACGAAGCGAGCGTTGCTACAAAGTGACGACGACCGCCTCCATTTGCCTGGTATGAAAGAATTTAGTGGGGAGAACCTTCATGTCATAGGGAATGCCAACGTTTCAAGACTTAATGTTCTCTACATAAAAATGGTGGATTTCACCCCTCCCGTCGTTGGGACGAAATCACCTGTGCAAATGTAGGATTGCAATGATCCCAACGTTAAGATTTTTGTTCAGAACAAAAAGAAAGGGGTTTTCTCATGGATTTGTGGGGAAACCGTAATGCTTCTATTCCTATGAGATTTCCTCTATGAAATCAAAAGCCTGACCAAATTTCTCTAACATCTAGACTTAGGGGGCTATGGGAATGAAAATCACAAGTGATTAAGATATTTTATCTTCATGACAGTTGATCTAAGTTTTTCTTCTTGTAGGAGGAAGCTCTCCTACATTGTCAAAATGTACTGCATTCCAAACCCCAGCTGTGACAGTGGAGACTTGTAAATAGTGTAGCAATCAAAGTGAAACTTATAGCTTTTTATAATTTATAAAATAAGTTTGGTATTAGGCAAGGAAAATGACACACACACAACAAATAAGAAGAGGTAAGAGATCTATTTTTATTATGTGTAATAGAAGTAAATATAATAAATTTTTTATCAAATACTAAAGCACTAAGAAAAGATGAAAATGTTATTTCGAGAAATAAAAAATGATCTTTTTGGTTGAATTGGTTTTAAAAATGTGCATTTTAGAGATATAACATAAAGTAAATGTAGTGCATTCTAAATTTAAGAAGTTAGAATGAATCTAATTTCTTTTTGTATGTTAATGCACAAATCTTGAAACGATTAAACGGTTGGAATAAGAGATACTGGAATCTCCTTTGTTATTCTCTTTAAAGCAAGACTAAATATAAAATTTATATATTTTTTGCTCCTCTTATCTTCTATAAATATGAGGGTTATATGATGTAAATGGGACTTTTAGATCTCTCCACTTTGTAAAATATTTTCTTTATCGAATAAAATAGATCATTGGCCCCGACAACATTCCATTCGCCCCCGACGAGAAGTCTTCCTCTTCTTCTTCTCTCTCTTCTTTTCTCTCCTTTTCAGTCTTCTTTGCTCGGTTCAATGCTCTTTTCTTTTGACTGGGTCTACTAGATAGATTTGAATTCAACATTTTTTTAAACTATTTTACAAAAACTTTGAAATCCAATTCTCTTCTCTTTCTTCACTCACCTTCTCAAATGAGGATCCATTGATAGAAAAGTCGATGGAAATTTGAAGAACATTGAAGGAGAGCCCAAAGAAGCCATAGATGATATTCCACAATGACTAAAATCCAAACTTTAGCTTCCCCTCAAATTCATATTTACTTGACTCAAATCAATCATTTCCAAGTCATTTTTTAAAATATTTTTATAGTCAATTCAAAAATTCATTTTTAATCATATATAATTGTTTAAATTATATTTAAATACACCTTCATATTTTTTTTCCTAAAATTTCGACCAGCGTCTTTTTGTTGAGTTTTTAACACAGCATAGGAAGGCGGTGCGTCCCGATAAACTCCGCTTCACTTCTGCTTCGGCCGCCCATTGTAATAAACCCCAAAATCCTCTCGTTTCGCATTCTTCCTATAGATTTCGCTTGTTTTCCTTCTCTAATACGGCCATGGAAAGTACTGATTACGAAGGCGGAACCGGCGGCAAGTTGCGCAGGCAGCCGCTGCGGCGGGTTTCGTCCACTCCGTACGAACAGGCAAGCCCGCCGTTGGACTTAAGTGGAAGCCATGGGTCACAACCGAAGACTGAGGCTGGAGGAAGCAGGTGGTTTTCAAAACTTGTTGATCCCGCATCCCGGGTTATTGTCAGGAGTGCCTCTCGCCTTTTATCCGTCTTTGGCGAGGACCTCACCGCTCCTCCAGGTTGGTTTGTCTTCCGAGTTCTGACTCCATGTTTTCTTTCTTTACACTTGTAGGTTTTTTGGTTTGATGAGATTAGGGGTTTGCGATTTTGGGGATCTTGATTGTCATGCATGTAGTGGCGCTGAGAAATGCGGTGATGCAATTTTGTTTTACTTCCAGATTTTACATTGGTGTTTAGTTTGAACAGTGTGATTAGCCACACACAACTTTTATTTCAACACAAATTGAAAGTGAGCATTAGGGATGAGAAACAGTAGAATCTCTATCAGGACCACTTTCTTCTGGTTACTTGTTCTCGTTTCTTTTATTTAAAAGTGAAAATTTACTTTGAAAATTCTCCAAAACTATCATCTTCTTGAATGGATTCCTATATTATAGATCATCATCAGCATGAAGTTATTCCTGTATTATGGTGTATCATTATAATCAAGATATTCTTATGGTATATCATTATGAATATAGCACCACATTGCCATGATAACAATTATTTGTAATTAAATACATTATATGAAGAAATTCCTTATTTAATAGTTCCTAAGGCTGGATCCATAGATGTAATTATATAAATTGTCAAAATTTATTGACAAATTTGGGCTATAGCTTATTGGTATCGTAAATATTTATTTGAAGCCAATTGCTTTTGATTAATATTGTACATTATGTTTTTGCATATCGTGAGTTCTTACTTGAAAATTTAACCTTTTCAAGGTTGGAAGCTACAAATCAAAGTTGATTGAGCTGTTAATTAATTACTTTTGACATCACAATTGTAAAAATGTACGCTTTATTGAGGCCTTTATGGATGTTTGTATTTTGTTGTTCTTAAAAGGCTGATTGTTTACTTGCAATGTTATGTAATTGTTGGATGCTGCTATTTGGTTTGATGATATCTTCAATATCATACTTTTGAAGGACATTTTAATCCTATTTGATTTATATCTTGAATGTATAATTCGTACAATTTAATAACCAAATAAATAACACAAAAAGTAATATCATATCATCATTATTTATGTTTACTGTTATTAAAATGTTTAATTAAGATGGCTCCAAAACAAGCAAGTTGCATTTAATTTATAACTATTCTGAAATAATATTATTTTACATTAAATAAACATGGCTTTGTTAAACCAGGCAAAAGCTGCTCCCATGCACAAATGATTTAATGAAATAGGAACTTCCATTGCATTGTGATCAGACGAGTTGTTTTTTCTATTATGTTATCTATTATTGCCTATTTAATTCATATCATAGATGCTAATTTTGTTCCATGGCTGTTTTAACATTGTTACATGTTTTGTACCATTATTGTTTTATTAACAATCGTCTTTTACATGCAGGGGAGCATATCGACACAATTGGAGGGGTTCTAGAAATGGTTTGTTTCTTTACGTTGATGATTTCAATCTTGTTTCTTGTTTTTCCATTTTCTTAAATGTATTATGTGCTACAATTCTAAGTGAAGCAGATTTAAAAATAGTAGTTTTTGATAGTTAATATTTTTTAAGTATGCTAATACTTGTTTCAATGATACTTGTTAACACGTTTGAAAAAAGAACTTATGTAAATTGTCTATGTATTTCATTAGTGGTCTTTCATCTTCAGTTATAAAATAGGATTCTATGTTACTCTTAGTAACTGCTAGGTGTAAAACGTATCAAGTACATTGGAGTCAAGGAAGCTATTCTATAGCTTGAACATATTTTTTTTTCTAAAAAAAAATCTGAGAGAGATTTGAACCTTGAAGAGGCTCATAATTACCAACTTGTCCAGAATGATGGACTGCTAGATATGTTCACAAATTACTAAATGACCCTCTAAAACCCGCTTCTCATCAAGATGTAGAGTAATTAATATCTATGTCTAATTTAGAGGTGAATGCAAAGTTTGGTTGTCCTTTGGTTAGGATGGTGGTCAACAACTACTTTTGTTTAGATATATGCATCTACTTTCTTTTTTTCTTTTGTTTTTTTTTTGTTTTTGATAAAATGCCAATCAATTTCTTTGTATTTGATCTGGACCATTCGGTCATATTGGATTAAATTGTTTACGATACTGATGTTTCATTTGTTGTTACAATAAAATTTCATAGTATAGTTGCATATTATTCATAACTTATTCAAGATAATTTTGATTCATGATAGTTAATGCAAGTTTTGTGCCTTTGTCTGAAGTTTTGCTTTAGTGCTAGATCTAGTGATTTATAATTACTTCTTGCTTCTTCAAGTGATTAGATTCTAGCCCATGAACGTCAATCAGCAGCAGTAGTTTTATCCATGAGTGATCTTACCCAATCAACAAATGTGTATGCTTTTAAGCATGGTTCTCTATTTTTTGAATAAGATATATATATTTTCGGCGCTACTTTGAGGCATTAAAGAGTTTTGCTTGTTGAATGCAGAAAAAAATATTTTATGTTCATCCATAAATGAAATTAGAGCATTTACATCATTAGTTATGTTTGGTTTTGTATGGGGAAGATTTGCAAGCTTCCTAATTAATCTTTGATGTCTCCCATTGTCAACTTTGGGCTATTTCTTGCTTCTCCGAGTCTGTGGAAATATTCAATTGGAACCTCTGAGGACTTACATTCCATCATACCTGTTTCATTTAGTGGATCTATGATTTATTTTTTGTGGAATGATGAATATTCCAATGCTTGGGTGGACCACTTCAATTATAAGAAAATACCAGTTTTTTTAGATCTTTTACTTTAAATTCATCAAATAATCTGATCTTTTACCTTTTTTGTTTCTTTGAAATTATCTCTTGTTACAGTCATGCATTCATATAAATTATGATGATTTTAATTTTGCCTTTCTTGGATCTCTTTTTTGATAGAAATGTGATGTCCAAGTTTGTGAATTTCCCAAATCATACTGTTGGTTATTTTTTTGAGCCCATTGATTGAATCTCGATGGGTTTCCATATGATATTTTTCTATTTATACATAAAGGACTGCGTTTTCTTACATCCAAATGTTGTGAGGATTATAAGATTGTTGACCTCAATTTTTGTGAGGTCTAGTATTTCTCGTAGGAGTTAGGATCTAGCCTTAGGGGTCTTCCTGCGACTATCTTAGAACCTTAGAAGTGGTGCCCGCCTCGTTTTTAGTTCGACCTATTTCCGTCCTCTTTTGGAGTTTCGCGTGTGCGGTATCGACTTCTAACACTTAGAAGGATGAAACCGACATGAGGAAACCCAAAATGGATTCCTATAGGACCTTCCCGAGCCTTAGGGTG